ATTAATGAAGGGATTAGAAAATGGACTAGAATTGGATGCTATTTGTTGTTTGGATTTCGTGAGGTTTGATTACGTGGATAATATCATTATTATTATTTATAACAGGCGACATAATTTTATTAGAACAACTGAAAAAAGTACAAAGGGAGTTATCCCATTAGTAGTATGACAGACATGGATAAATTTCTTCAGTGAGTTGAGTTAGCCTAAGGGCTGAAATGATCTAAAGAGAATCAATCTAAAACAAATACTTGTCTAAAACCCCTATCTATCGCCTTCATTGTTGCAAATTAAGGCAATTTATCAAGAACAAAATTTGCCGCTAACCGTCATGACTCTCCTAGAAAGACTAGACAACCCAACAAACTCAACAAGTTTATGGGAATCATGACACAAACTCACAAACAACCCGTAAGAGTTTATGGAATTAAAACTAAAAAACTAAACAAAAAACGACTGAAGTAGTAGCAACACATCAAAGCCGCTCCATAAGATGCTTCACACAACCAAAGCCATCCAGATCAAAATAGAGACGAACAGATTTGCAACAAGGAGAAAAGAACAACATGGTCCACCAAGGCACCCAGATCTGAAGCTTTCTTGCTCGATCTCTCATTCTCTCTTCTTTCATACTACTTTACTGTGAATTTTTTATGGGATCAAGGGGGTTTTCAAAACCTGCGCTCACCTTCGGCTAGCTTTCTCTCTTCTCCTTTCGCTTAGGGTTTACTCAAAAGGGAGACTAGGGTTTGTTTAATCTATATATTGCTTTAATAATAACATTATTTTAAGTGTAAAAAACACTAATCAGAAAGTATGATGTAGCCATCATTATTCATTTTGCTGGTTGACAAAAAACAGCAAGAGATAATGTTTATGTGATTTCAATCTATGCTTGAGAGAGACCCATCCCGATTTGATATTTCGACAAAATTATTAGATTCACAATGTTAGAAAATAATGACTTATCCATTTGCCTCGCCGGAAAAACCATTGTAGGTGCTTTAAATTGCCCATTTGCTCAGTTGGTGATGGTACACAGATTACCTTATTTCCATTTTCAATATTTAAGTAAATTACTTAAGTTTACAATGTAAATAAGGAAGTACCTCCTATTTGGATTCAAATAAAAATACTAGAAAATCACATTCCCACCAAAATCGATTTTAATACAAAATACGATTTCGGCTAAAAGTGATGGCTCATTAAGTCAATATATACTTCATAATAAAATCCCATAAAATCAAGTTTTCTTATTTGATGTGTAAGGAATAAAAGCCACCAAAAATTATCTTGATAAAATAATTATTTATAAAAACAAATTTTCATATATGATATGAATACATGAAGGGACCTAAGGTCAATCTAGGTAAAAAGTCTTAGATGTTCAATCCACAAAGAATTTTTAGCCTTTCACAATTGCACATCCACTAAAAAAATTCACGAATCTGCCACTGGATATATGTACTCACATCTGTCATGCATGATTATCTCAATTTTAAGATACTTAAGAACCCTCCAGAAATTCGATATACCCGAACGTGTCCTAAAAAATCTCATGCAAAATTGATTTGGTTAGGTTTGAAAAAAGCCTCACCACGAAGCAAAAGTTCAAAGTAGGAGCAAGATTCTGTAGCTGCCTTTGAAATAGGGTTGAGACTGAGAGAGATTGAATGGTCCAGATCTGGAGCCTGCAATTTCTTCTCATTTTTTCAAAGTTGGCTACGATTCCCAGAAACTTGAAAGCGAAGTTATAATTAACATAAATCAATGAAACATCACCTTTTGCAAATTGCCGTCTAAAAAGTCTTGGTCATTTTAGACTTGTGAACAAGGTTACCAACTTTCGCACTTGCTAATGAGATAGATTGAAATCTCCAAGAAAATAATTAAAGGTTGCAGAATGACGCATGCATGTTTCAAATGAAAGGATCAAAGGGATGAAGCTAGTTGTAAATGGGCCCACCAGTGGATAAAGCTCAAAGGTCATGGTCATATACATATTAATAAATAAAAGGTTACGTGTCATAATAATATATAGATGTGCATTAGGATAGTGTGTCAATAATACAATCTTAATAATGCGCTCGAATTCGAGGTTTTGTTCGTCTCCTTGATTATATAATATTGAGATGGGAACAGGTCATGGTCATATACATATTAATAAATAAAAGGTTACGTGTCATAATAATATACAGATGTGCATTAGATCAGTTAATCAGGACAATGTGTCAATAATACAATCTTAATAATGCGCTCGAATTCGAGGTTTTGTTCGTCTCCTTGATTATATAATATTGAGATGGGAACAGTACTATTGAGTATTGACTCCATGCTTGATAGTACATAGCAACTGGTAGCTAGTGCTTGTACTATACCTTGGTATCTTTTGTGCTAGCAATTTCAAATGGGTAAAACAGGGACAAAAAGCTAAAAGGTATATATATATATGTATATCGGTTTCATTCCACTCACGTCAATTTTGATGCTTTGTTTATGCAATCTGTGTATTTTTGACTAGCAAATTGCATTGATGATTGCACCTTTTACAATCCAGTGGATACAAGTTGCGGCACGTGGCAGTTCCGAGACCATTGATAGCATGTAGGTGTTGCAAGGTTCTGTGTCTCTGTCTAACTATTGTTTATTCAATGATGGGTGGTTGTAACTCGTAAGTGGAAGAAGAGGAAGAAAGGACTTGGTTTTCAAAATTGAATATTTGGGGATGGCTTTGTGATGAAGCAAAAGATTAAAAATAAGGTCCAGCGCAGGGCATGTGACAAAACTCACTTCACATGGTCAAGTCCAGGACCAGGACCATCATGCACATGAGCTTATCAATTTCTCCCCTTCCAATATGTTACTGTGGCCCACTGAATATTTCCCTGTTTGGGCTTTTTCATTCCACCTGTTTCCGGTTCAGTTGCTTGGTGGATGGATCGCCTCATTCTTATTTAACTGCACATGTGCATGCAATTAATTGTACTTTTTTTGCTTTCAATTATTTCATTCTCTCTCTCTCTCTCTCTATCGTATATTATGGATGCAACTTCCAACTCCAGCACATCTTTTCCAATACACCACACACGTTACTATCAATTGTTTTATATTAAGAGAAGCGATAACATATTAATTTACACGTTATTATTAAATGTGAAGGATATCATTAAATATCGGTTAAGTTAGCTAATTAGGATAATGAGTCACCAATTCGACATCTAAAGTTAATATACCTAGCATAAACTTATAAATAGTTGGTTCACTGAATCTCCCCATTACCATTACCGATTGATTTTAACCTCAACTTCCTTCCTTTACACTCAAGTTTGAATCTCGAACTATCCACCTATATAAATAAGAATAAATTAAAGAAATTAAGAAAGTTAGCCTAGTATAGACATTATAGAATACTTGACAAAAATAAAGACGTTATAGAATAGAATAGAATGCTGGTCCTCCTTCAAATTTCCAATTCCTTGATTGATTCAATAGTTGGCGTGTGTCCTCCTCATCCATGACATGGAAAGAGCTCCATCAACCGAATTAGATATTTGACAAAATAATTACTAAAATTATCAAAAAGCAGATGCAGATATTTGTTTATTTATTGGTTCCACGCCACCCGTTACTTCGTGAGGCCCACGACGCCACGAAAAATAAAACGACACTGTTCAGTGATCACTTGTCACTTTCGGCACATGAACATATCGACTAGCCCACCGGAAGTACCGTTGTTGGTCAGTTTACTAAATAAAGACTAGGGCGGTGCTGAATCGGTCGCGTGGCCAAGGCGAGGGTTGTGGTTCTTGTAACACGTGCCACGATTTGGATGATGTGGCGACGTGCATGCCCTGAAGCCGCAGAAGCTGACTCAGGCTTGTCTGGGTTTCTCTAAAAAGCTGTGAAAGGCACTTTCCTTATTGTTCTTCTTGTCGGCGCCGTTTCCATGAGTCGGCTTCAAGATTCGGCTGGCCAAGTCGTTGGGTTGCGCTTGGAGGTAGTTCCACGTACACACGTGGTTTGAGGGTGAAGTGTCGATCGAGTGTAGGTCCCATAATTTTTTATAAATAAAAACCCGAGATGACTTGTTAAATAAGGAGTTATGTCATCCAGTGACTTTTTCTTACTTTAACTTATTACTATCTTTTTTTCCCAAGCTTTTTAAATTATATTGAAAAACTTTCTCGAAACTATATGATTTTGTGGGCCGAACTGAATTCACCCATATCAATTAAATTGGACAAGTATCGTGAATGCTATTTAATATGTTATTATTAAACTTATTGAATACAATAATAATCCAATATATTATGTTTTACGAGTGAGTGTGATTCATAATGATAAATTTGCACTCATTTAACCCGAGTCGCCAAACAAAATCATCAATTTGGCAATTGGCACTTGTAATCTAAACAAGAAAATGAAAAAACAAAATTCGGAAAAAGTACTTGGTATTAACAGCATTGCAATAACAGTAAATGCTTCGACATTGAACAGTGATTGGCTGACTGCATAATTTGGAGCCTACAAAAAGCAGTTATCAAGTAAAGCACTTGATTTTGTTGAAGCTTTTACTATAATAAGGAAAGAAATCGTCAAGAACAAAAACGACAGCGAAGCCAAAAAGCCTCATACCTATCCCAATCCAATTCGCAAGCAACCCGATCCAAGCAAGGGAAGTGAAAAATCAAAATTGGTGGGTCCTGAACGGACCTCAAACTCCAGACTTAAATTTAGTTAATTGACAGAACAGAAATTAAATAAAATAAAAAAGAAAAGTATCCCACAGAATTATTATAGTAGAGATACGTTAAGGTGGGCAACATAAAATAACTAAATTTCAAAATTATTTATTTTAAAAAAAGTCCGAGACTTCCGTGAGGGGTTTTAAGGCTCCGCAGTGGCCGCGCGTATCGGCATCTTCCATTTTAAAATTGAATGCCAAATCCTCTCTCTGTTTCTCTCTCCATTATATATAACCTTCCCACAATTCAACTCTCCTACTCATTCTTCAACTTCAAAATCTAAGGAAAGAAAACACCATTTGCATTTGCAACCCACCTAACTTTTTTCTTTTCTTGGTCCCTCTAAAATTTGATAATCTTCTCTCTCTCTTTCTCTCTCTTTCTTTTTCTCATCACCCACCCACCACCACCATTCCAACTTTTCTCTCTCTCCCTATCTTTTTCTCATTTTCCAAACAACCATTTTTCTCCCTCTAGAAAATATTAACTAATCTTTGCTTCTTGCCGACTATATATACCACCTCCTACCACATCACTTATTAATATACTTGCCCACCACCTTTTCTCTCGTTGCTTTGACAACTCTCAATCTCTCTCTATATACCTTTTTTCTCTTTGGTGTCTCTCTCTCCTGAAACACAATCCTGGATTTGGGTCTTCTTTGTCCCCTCTGAAACCAAACCAAACCAAACCCACTCTTCATTTTTCTCATTGGTTCACAATGGATAACAGCATCAACCATAATAGGAAACGAGCCCGAAATGACTCGGACGACCCAGAAACAAAACATACCCAACTCGAGTTCAAACTCGTCCGAGTCGACTCGAGTCACTCAGTTGCCTGCCCGCCCGAGTCGGGTTCCACCGTGTTCGACTCGACCAACTCGGAGGTGAACTCGGACGAGTCGTTGACTCCGCAGCCTGTCCGGGTCGACTCGGACGAGTTGGTTATAGAGTCGGAGGAGGTTAAGCTGATCCAAGACGACCTCCTCAACATCCTGGACGACTCGGACACCGTTACCGACCGTGACCCGGCGATCCAGGACCTTGACTCGGTGATTAAAAGCTTCGAGGAAGAGATACAGGTTCCGGCATTTCCCGTGTCCGAAACGACGTCGTCTCCAGGCGGGTCGTCGCAGCCGGAACTAGGTTACCTTCTAGAGGCTTCTGACGACGAACTCGGCCTCCCGCCGACCAATGGAGGAAGCGAGGACGGAAAGTTGGAGGCCGCTGATTTTACGTCGAGTGGTTCGGAGGCGGTTGGATTGGACGGGATGCTAGGGTTTGAGAACGACATCATTCCGAGTTACGACTCGTTTGAGTTCGGAATTGGTGGCGACTGTAACTTGAACAACAATTATAATGGCGGGGCGGAGTACGTGGCATTAGGTGGGTTGTTTGATTACTCGGATGGCAGCGTTTCGGATGTTTCGTGGCGAACCGAATCGCTCTCTGCTCTGTAGGAACGTTTCGGCGGCAAGGCGGTGGGGGTGTTTTTGTTTACAACCCCGGACCGCTTTGTTAGACGTGTAGCTGTTTATATGATAGGTTGTAAACTTGACACAAAGTAAAAGACAAGAACATGGAAAATTTTGAATTTGAACCCAACATGTTGATATTTGTTGCTTCTGCCCCAAAAAAAAAAAGTTGATATTTGTTAATTGACATTCGTTTTAAAATTATTTGAATTCTTTGTTTTGTTCTGAAAAATGTGTGTTTTGATTTTTGGGTTTTGGGGTTGGATTCAAAAACAGAAAACAGCCAGATCACCAAGTAATTGAGGCCATTTATTTATTATAATTCAGCAAAACGAAATTTCAATTCTCTGCTTTGAAAAATCAAGTAGAATTACTAATACAGAAATTTCAATGCTTCAAGCAGATTACATACGAACTCCTCAGTGGATTCTCAACAATATGTAATCACTGAATATTTTCATTATTCAAATGATTTAATGTATATCTTTGCTTCCATTTATATTGATGATGTTCAATGTTTGTGTTAAGATGAGATTTCGATATCCCAATTAAAAGAAGACTTTTCAGACACTTCTTGTATACAAAATTATGATTATGTATTAAACCGGTTGGTTCGCGATTGAATTTTTTTAGAATAAATTTTTCATGTCTAATTTCACGATATGGAAATGGATTGTTTGGGAATGCTTGGAAATAAAGACTAGGAAATGTCTTTTTTCCTCATTTTTCATGTTTGGTTTGTGCATAATGAGTGAAAATTTTCAATTTTTCTAAAAATACCTTTAAATTTTTTATTATTAAAATGTATTAATATGAAGAATATTTTAAGGGTTTTTTTTTTTTTT